CAGGAGACAGCCATGCAGTGGCGTGACTTTCAGCATGCTGAGTTTTTTGGTATAATTTCAAGCCCTTTTCAAAACTGTGATGTACAAAGTTTGGCACTTGTTTTATTGGAGTTACTGCTTCAGTTTGTAAAAAAAAAAAAAAAAAAAAAAAAATTGCTTCAGACATCTGCTTATATGAATGACTGCTGCTCCCTTCATTGATCTGAATGGGTTAAACTGTTTGTATATAAAAAATGGTTTAGCAATGAGCTTTAATTTAATCAGTCTATTAGATCAGAAATGCTCCTTGGATCTCTAAAGAAGTTTCTCTTGTTGAAAGTTCATTAGCTGCTTTTGTCTGGCTTGTTCTCTGCTTAAATTAATGTATTAAATATACTTTGCCTGTTAAAGGAAAATAATAATTTACAATTTACATGTTTATTCTCTCTTCAAAAGAAGTGCTGTGTGGTTGTATTTCCAAACGTCAGCAGGCATAGCTAAACACTTGTCTGTTACATGGTTTCAATGGCATTGCTTTTGTGAAGTGGTTGTGAGAACTGCCACTTGGGAAGATTTGGTGATTAACTGAGTTAGGACCTCCTACAAATGCAACGCTTCGAGACTTTCTAGCCTCAAGAGAGGCTATTTCAAAAGCTGTATTTAGTATTTGATTCATTGCTCTTGAACTTTAAACATCGCTGCAGTGGCAGATTTTTTTTTCCCCTCATTTGGCATGCTGTAAATAAATCTGTGGGCGGGGGTTTAATATAACTTCACTCAAATGCAACCAAAAATACTCAAGAATGAAAAGGAGCAATTATAAAGGGTTATTTATAACAGTCTGTTGATCTTCTGACTTGCTTGTGTTGACTTCCCCATGCTTGAGCTCAAAATAGTGACAGTGCCAAGGAGCAGAACGTTTCCTTCATTATCCCCTCTTCCACTATGGATTTAACCAGATACTGCTCTTTAGTTCAAGTGTGATACTTGAATCTTCTGAACTAACATAGTAGAGGGAAATTAAAAACACTTGCTTACCTGAGACCTGCAGTTGGCTCACAAAGGCATCTAACCTCATGGGTGATGTCTGTCCTGATGCAAAGCCTCCGGGAGAGGGAGAGGGCCTGCCTGGGCACAGCTGGAGCAGAAACCAGATAAAGCGGCTTGGGGAATTCTGCAGCCTTTTCCGCAGGGTCTATCCTGAGCAGACCGTGCTGCTTTGTTACAAAAAGCGCAAGAGGTCCTCGGTTTTGCTCTGGGGTTACCTCAGTAGTAGGTTTACTTGTACTCTGTAACTTTGATGTTAAGCATGTAGAAGAAAGTAGACAAAAAGAAGCATTGTAAAGGAAACAGCCTTGTCAGGTATTCACCATACGAACAGGCAGATCCCTATGTCTGATTCTCCTCTTGCAAGTAGATTCTCTCATTGAAGTGGCACGGCATAAAGGTGTGCATTATTAACATTTTAAGGTGACATCTGCCCTGCTCCTATGTGTGAAGATAACCTTTAAAAATTCTTGTACATAGGGTTGACTTTCTGTTTTCAGAGTATTTAAGCCAGAACTTCAGTAAATGTTTGAAGCCACGGATGATGCTTTATTACATTAAAAGAAAACAGAAGTTTTTGAGCTGTTAAATCTGACAGGATCTTCGATGGCCTGCAGATCCCTTTAGTTCGTCAGGAAAATGTGAGGCAAGTGTTCAGGCAAGTGCTTATCTGCATGCAGCGAGCAGCTCTGCTGAAGTCAATAATGCAGAGTGATTATTTTTGCAATGCAACAGTGTCAAGTTTTTCAAATATTAAATACTTGCTTCACTTTTGCTCATCTGTTCCATCCTACTTCCCTTTCTCAATATCCTAGATTTAAATCCAGGCTAGCCTCAAACTCATTACAAAAAGTGTTGCCCTCTGGTAGTAATTTAGCATTATTTTTTATGGAGCCATGCAGGGGTATAAAATGAATCCAGCAAATCATAAAACTTGAATAGGTGGAAACATCAGAAATTATATTAAGAATTTCACACATAAGTTATTCAGTAATAATAATAATAATAATCCTTTTATGCTTTTTGGTGTCTAGAATGGCTGTGAAAATGTACAGCACTCTGAAAACTCACAGCCTTACGGATGTGTTTGCTGGGTTTTTTGTGGGTTTGTTTTTCGGGTTGGTTTTTTTTTTTGTTTTTTTGATAGAACTCTGTGCAAAGCCAGTCTGAGTAAGTCAAGTGTCCCAAAGCCTTAAAACCAGGGTTCAGCGAATGAGAATTTGGGAGCAATTTAGGTGAACTTCAAAAGCAGGTGTTTACAGAAGGGGAAAATAATTTGATATAATTTACATTTCTGTTTTGAGTTGCAACATTTACTTTTGTAAGGTATGGCTCATCGCTGCTTGTATTGGAGTAGAAGCTGTTTTGTCTGGAGATACAATCTGCAAGTGTCCTACTCGGGAGGCTCGGGGATACTGGGGGCTTCAGCACTGTTAAATGTAAAGAGAAGGTGAACTCTTCAAGATTTCAGAATCAGTGTGACTGAGTTGCTCTTTTGTTTGTTTCTTGTTAGCCATGCTGATAAGTGGTTGAACAGTTTGCAACCCTGTGAATGCCATTTTGGTGTTCAGGCAGGATTTAGAAATAGACAGACCCCAGTGTGCTAGTGTGAGCTCTTCGTACCTCTTTAGGATGTTTTTTAATGGTCAGTATTGTAATTCTGCATCACATTCTCCAGCTACAGTCTGCTGTCACATGGTGTAGATGAAAGATGACCCTTAAAGTTAATTTATTCCTGCTTCTTCAAGTGGAAGAAAGCAAATTACCATGCTTTAGTAAGGTACCATTATCAAAGGTTGTGGGAAACACACAGTGGGTTAAAATCGGATGCAAGAACTTCTTAACACCCCCAAGACATTCACTCTGCCTCCCTGAAGGACAATACAGCCTTTGAGGGCAGCAGTGGAAGGGGCTCCTGATCTTCAGGGGTCAGAGCATCTGCTGGGGCAGAGTGGCTGGCTGGAGACAGAGGCACTCTCAGCTGTCCCTGGTTACACACCCTGCATCAGTCAGTCCTTGGGCTGCATCCGTGCCAGGGGCAGCGTACGTAGGGGCACTGGAGCGGAGCAGACACTGAGAGCGGTGACACCGTGGCAGCCTGTGCTGTGCTGTGCACCCTCTCATGCCTGAATGCAGGAGAGTGAAGTGGAAGCTGAGACCTTCATGCCTGTTCCTACTCTCCAGGCTCTACACACCACTGAAATCCTCCTTTAATCAGTGACTCCAGCTTATTTTTTCGCTAGCACCACTGCACTGTGCAAATAGTTTATCCCCAGGATTGCTCAGTACAGGTTTCCTTAATACTATGTTTTGCTAACCTCTGCTATGCCCAGTTTCTGTGACAGTAGTTGTAGTTGAACAAGCACAGAACTTAAATAAAGGGTAAAACGGTAACTTTCATCCGTTATTGGAAATAGTCCATTTTCTCACACTTGCCAAGGAACGGACAGCATGGTCGTTTGGGAGTGGGGATGACTGCTCAGCACTATAGTCTTAAAACGCATGGATAACTGTAATTCTTACGTGTCTTGGGTGTGTCCTTTTTTGCAGTTTTTGTGTCTGTGCTGCCACTGAACATGAGTAAATTTGAAATAGTCGCTGTCTTTGCCACACCTGATGATTTCAGAAGCTCCATTAGGAGAAGATGCTGAAACTGAAAACTGTGTCTGACAATATCAGCTTTGCTGGGCAGATTCACAGTTATTAAAAGCAGATAGACTGAGTAGGTTGTTTGTGCAAGATCAAAGGAAAATTGGATCGTGAGAGGCTGTTGTCTGAATAATGCTGACATCACGTCTTTTTCATTAGGGCATAATTGAATAGTGTTCTTAAGGGATATGGATTTCTGTGGTCCAGCACTCTCAGCAGAGGGCCTGAACAGGAAACAAACTGAAATACGCTCATTTATTGAAGTTCTTTGCCGTGGATAGGAATTTTTTACTTTGAGGCTTTATCTTTATTGTGAAAGGTACGTTTTAGCCATGAAAAGATTGATGTGCAGTGTTTGTCCTGCTACTGGAAATCTGGGCGGTGTGGTTTTCATGTGTAGGCCGTCAAGGGCTAGCAGGCTGTAAGGGCAGGAGGTGCAATGCTGATCTTACTTAACTGTCTTGTAGGTGTGAGCTCCAGTGCCCAGACTTCAGTGGGATTTTGCAGTAGGGTAGCTTATTTATGCTGCTACTAAAGAAAATAGTCTTTCCTCTAGGTAGAAAAGCTTAGCCTTGGAGTTGGTGGTTGGTGATGCTTTTAAGTCTCTTTCTATAGTATTTGGATCTTTTGCATTTTCTTATTCTCTGAAGGTTGTAAATGAGGATGTGGACTCTTAGGTCAGTGCTAGTGGAACCCTTTTGGAGATGCCCATCCCAAAATAAGTTGTGTTTGATAACACCATTTGGAGGCAGATTCCCCTGAAGCTTCCTGTTTGCAGGAATTGCAAACCCTCTCTATTCAGCTGTGTTTAAATAGATACTTAAAAGCAGCAAAATTATTTGAGACATATGCTCATATAAGAATGGTATTTCTCCATACTCATACTACACCTAAATCTCTTTTCTCTGATATTTTGACACAGTTTCAAATACTTGTCTGACACCGTTTTAATTTTTTAAGAATGGATTGCTGAATTAAGTTTTGTACCCACCCTTTGAACTAATCAGTGCAGTCAGTTGGTGGCATATATAAGGTATTATTCCTCTCCTTTAGCAGAGAAGCAACAGGAATAAGGCTCCTATACACACAGAAAGATCTGAACTTGTATTTGAATATGCAGTATTTGTTTTTTGGTGACTTCTAAATATCAGGCTTCCATGAAATGGGAAAGCTTTTTCAATATTTTGATTTAAATTAGTAAAACATCACCGTTAATCTAGATTTGATTTCCAGTAATTTCATGGATTAATAGAAAAAATAAAGTATGTGAACCTGTTCAAAACACCTGAAATGCATGTCTAACTGACTGTGCTTTTCCTTTGCAGGATGTTGTCTGGGGGTTAAACTCTTTATTTACTGTAAGTAAATGAATATTTTGCATATCCACTTTCCTTTTTCCTGCCTGGTTTGGTTTCAGCATCACCTAATGTGAACCCCATCTGTTGCCTCTTAAACTTAAGGTCATTATTTCCTTTGGCTTCAGTGGCTGTTGTACAAGTATGAAATCAGTTTGTGCTTTTGTTTGTATAACTGCAAGACTCATACAGATGGTCTGAAATGCCAGCTTTTTTGTACATTGTTTTTACTTTTGGTTACAAATCTACTATGGGCTATTTTGGTAACAAGTTACTTGGGGTCTTCCACACAGTATGAAATTCCTTCCGCTGGTCTGCAGGAAATAGAAATTCATATTGCTCTAAGAAGGAATTGTGTTGGTGTTATGTTTTTTAAAAATGATGTTTAGGAATAAATGGCTGCCCTGCAGGCTCATTCCTGTTTTGAACACTTATATTCCTGTTCAAGGGCCTTGGTACCCACCTGCAGAATTTGCATAAACCCTGCCTTGCCACAGAAATGATATGATTTTGTTCAGGGATTCCATTTTCCCCCTTTTCCTTAGATTGACAGGAGCAAGAAACCTGTGCCTCCTAATTACAGGAGCAACTTGAAAATGGAGGAGAGGGCAGGAAGCTGCAAGAGGCAGGCAGGATGCAACAGCTGCTTTTGCCCTAAAAGCAGAGAGACGCTAAGTTTTTACTGTACAAAAGCTGCCTTTTTTTAGGAAGTCCAGGATTATGGTCCCCTTCCACAGCCATTGCTGCTGGGTAGGAAGGTCAGGAGAACGCAAAGAAAGGCACTAACTTGGTCACCACGTTTGTTATCGACTCTGGAGAGAACTACCCCAGCCACTCCAGGGTGTACAGAGGAGGCTGTGAAAAGCTTTGGATGAGGAGCATAGCTGTGGGCTTCACTAGCCCCAGCCTGTTTTTGGAGAGAGAAATTCCTTCCACCGCTATCTGCAGGAGGAAGGGCGGAGCAGTGACTGTGCTCCCAGCACTATCACCAGGATCATGGTGCATTTCTAAAACCTCTAGCATAGATCAAGCCAGTGACTGGCTACAATCTCCTATGCTTTCCTGGCATCCAAAAGCATGATTTGTTTCAACAACTTCTTTGGTAAATTGATTTAGAAGATTGGAGAGCATTTGCCTTTTCAACAAAGAGTAATTGCATTTCACAGTTAGTCTGCCACTGCATGCTAAGTAACTGGAAGAAAGCGAAATCCACTGGAGGTACAAAGGAGTGCCTTCAGAGGCAGAACTGCATGTAAAAATAATCTGTTGGGCAAACAGCTGCAAAGAGCGATGGTCATGCTTTGGAGACCACGGGGATTTGTCATGGCCGGTAAGAGCTGGGCTTCCCAGCTTGCCTCTTGGATTTCCCTCACTCCCAGCTGCTTATAAATAATTAGGCTTTGAAAAGCTGGCATTGGATTGTACTGGCCTTGCAGATTCTTTTGGGGTTTTCTTGAAGTGAGTGAAAATGAGGTGGATTGGTGTCCTGGTTTGAATGAAATGGGAGGTTTGCTGCTTGAAAACGAGTCAGAGAGTGACAGGAGCCTTTCATGCTTGTGAAACAATGGCATTTCACTGCTGTCACAGGCTAACCTTAAACTGGGGAAAGTGATCTGGGCTGCAGGCAGAATAGGGGGGGTTGTGATTCAATGTTATTTTTTTTATGATAATTCCTCTTTTATCAGCATCTTGGCTTCCTTTGGTTTTAACCCTAGACCGTTTCTCCTTCCGAAGTTAATATTTATTGAGATTAAACTGACAGACCTGAGATTTATTTTGATTATTTCTGCTCCCTGGCCCCACATGCCCTTAGCTTTGCACTCCCTTTCCTCAGCCCTGTTTTTCCCATTGCACTGAACTTTCCTGTCTGTCAGGCTCCAGGTTATGTAGTTTCTTCACAGAGAGAGTTAAATTGCTTTGCTATGGAGATGGTATTAAGGAAGCTCTTCCTGCTTTATCACCAGGCTGTTTGCAGGGTTCTTTAAGGTTTTACTTTACCCTTGAACAAAAATCAACAGGAATTGTGCCTTCTGCAACTTTGAATGTTCCTTCAAAATTTGATTTAAAACTGTCTCAGTCTTCAAATAGAAATGCATCACTGCCACAGAGAAGTGTCACGGGGCTGTGTGTGGTGTGCCACCAGATGGGGTCGAATGCCTTGCTGCTGTTGTCCGTTAATTGACTTGTGATTTGGTTTGCACTCATCAAACTCATTTGCATCTACCTTTGGCAGGGATACCTGTCAAGGTAGTGAGAAAATGGCACTATACTTGCTGGTCTTGTTTGCTTTGTTTCATTATCTTGTTCATTAGGGCTTTGGATTCCTTATATGACGCAGTGAGTGGGAACCCTATAATGTTCTCTGTTTCTTTTCCAGGATCTTTTGAATTTTGACGATCCTTTGAATATTGAGGCTGCAGAGCATCATTTGCGTGACAAGGTAAGTCAGCAATTTATTTAAAGCATGTTGTTCCTAAACAAATACACATACTGTACTTGGCAATTCCCAGTCAGTCCTTTTAAAGCATTCAAGCTGGTACTTCAGGCAGTTGAGTGACTCATTGTATCAGCAACCAGTTACTCAAACAAGATGTGCTCTGTGTGGGAAAGTAAACTCAACACAGTAGTGTTATTCACCATATGCTAGAATTGTTGACCATAATGTAGTCATATCCCCAAAACAGATCATCTTTTCCTTCTTGTTTCTGAGATTTTCCCTGAAGTTGTACATGTTCTGTGCAGCAAATGATAGTGAATTGGTTTGGCGCAGTTAAATGAGTAGCCTTTACCTTAAAAGGCATGCAAAAAGATCTCATCCTTCTGTCTCTTTCAAAATGCAACTTTTTTTTCACAAATCGTACATGTTGCATGCTTTCATTAAGCCAGGAGAGATCTGGGCACATTTGAAAGACAGGAGTGGAAAGTTTATTTTCTTTTTACTGATCCTGTATGTTCTGTGTGTATTATGGACTGGGCAAAGTAAAACATGGTATTGATTAGTGGCCTGATGAACATCTGTGAGATTGAGCATGGAGGTAGAGGTGAACAAAGTACTAACTTCCCCCTTGTATGGACCTCTGAAGTTGTGTCACATTACATTATATAGATGCATACCTCAAGCATATAAAAGTTACACTTGGCATGTTCAAGTTCTCTTGTTTTAATTAAACTCTTCTGATACTTTTGTTGAAGTTAACCTTAAAGATTGAAGAAAGCTTCCAGGTAAATGTTGATTGAAGGGTTCATTGAAAATGTAGTGTCGGGCAGTGCACCTAATTTATCTCATTTTTTCAAGAGGAAACATCAGGATGGCAAGTTAATCTTTCTAGCTATTTTCTTGTTTAATGAGATTTTGTAGCTATTCTGGTATTTGTCAGTGTTTGCAGGTCTGGGATGAGACTGTAAGCCTAACATGAGAAAAATATGGTAGACACGTACTCTGGAAGAGGTTTCTTTTAATGGTTTTGTTATATCATTGTAGCAAAGAGTGCCAGGAAGCCTTCCAAGCCATAAAACACTGAAAGTCACAGAGGTACAGCCTGAGAAACAAAACGAGCGTAGTGAAGGTAGCAGGCTGAATCATTTACTTTGTTTGCATTGTTAGACTGAATTATTATCTAATATCTTGCCAGAGAAATTTGTAGCTCTTTGGAAACGGTGAGGCTACACACCTATTGCTGAGTGTTGAATTTGGCACTTGATTTCTTCTAATGCCAGAAGGAAAGTGGTTTGTCTGGTGCCTGGGTAGGTTTTTGTGAGGAGAGATGCTCCCATAGTACTAGTACAGTCGTGTGTCAGATGTGCTGAGGCTGTGGTAGGTGAGCCTTACCAGTGCTTCGAGTAAATTGTTAGAGCTCAGACCAGCCAGACAGTAATGTCCTGTAATTCCCAAAGAGTGACAAAATGCTAAGAAATCACTCTCCTGCATCTCTCAACCTCATTCAGTAATTGGAAACCTTGGGAATCCACAGAAAGGAAGAATGTTATCTGCTTTTAAAAATGCACCTCCCTCAAAAACAGAAAGGTGAGCACTCAAAATATGTACTGCTACACTAATAGCATGGAAGTCTTTTTTCAGATAAAAGCAGCTGTGGAAGAAGTGAAAGGGAAATTGAGTGGGTTTTTTGACAGTCTTCTAAATTAAAAATAGTTTTGGAACAAACATTTTTTTATTTAGTAAACTCTAAGTAGTCTCCACAGGTATTTGTAAAATTCATGTTCTGCCATGTTAAGTTTTTTTTGGAGCTTACCTGAATTTAGTTTAGGTATTTCATTGATAGTGACAGCACCAGGTAGTGCTAGATTTTCCATAGTATGTCTTACAGCAACATCAGGACAAAACCAATAATGCTTGTCTGGAGAGAATAAATTATGCAAGGGAGAGAAATAGATGCTTTTACAATTAGCCTCAAAGGATGCAATTGCACCGTGAGTTAGTTTTTGTCTCTCTTGGGCATAGATGTCATGTAGTGTATAAGCACGTTGTTGTGAAGTGAGACTGCTGTGGTCCTGTCCTGTCTCTTAAGAAAACACTTGCAATGCACAATATGATTAATATGGGAATGCTAATGAATTTTCCCCAAGACATTTTTATGTGTGTAATACAATTATACAAATAGTGTATACATAATATATATGCCTACATGCACAGTCTATGTACAAACAGATGTGCAAATATATCTATATACAAATAGTTTTGTATACAAACATCTGTGTCTAACAGATACTGTAAGGGAATGACTCTGGTCATTTGACAGCGTGGGAGTATATGGCTTGTAACAGCCAAAGCAAATGTACATTGAGCTGTCTTCTGTGGTTCTCCTGGAGGAGATGACTCAGTATTTCACTGATGTCATTTCAGATTTCAAATCCTGGGATCCCTTTGCTGACATTCCAGGCTAAGTGTGGCTGCCCAAGAGGTTAACAGCTAATCTGAAACCTGCCTCTGGTTATTGAAAATGTGAAACTGAAGTTTGTTCAGTTCCGTAGGCTGGTATTAAGTCATCAAAAATGACTGCCGCCTTGCAGATGCTGGAAGAAGTCATATCGTAGATATCAAATCCTTATTATTGAATCTTGGAAAACAGTTGTGCTGTGAATGTTTGTGTTACAGATCAGGCTGTGAGGGTCAGTTATGATCTCTTCCTGCATAAGGAACCTCTTAATTTTTGCATCAAATCTATGGCTTATACATGAGCATGTAGTTGTAGTTTTTGGGAAAGTGGCCTTGTTCTAGGATGTAAAAATTATACAAAATTCAGAGCTCAAGTTGTTCAATTAATTGCTTTAAAAAACTGTGTCTTGTCTGAGATCTGAGTTAGCGCAGCTTCAGCTTCCAGCCCTTGGGGGGCCTCCTTCAGCTCAAGGAAGGAGCTGTGAGTTACTGAACCTCTTCCCTTGTGGCTTCCTTCAGCCAGTGATCATCAAGTCACTTTTAAACGAATTATTTTTTAAAGTATGTACAATTGTTTATACAGCTTGAGTAATTCTACAGTTCTTCCCCACACACTTTGCAAGATGTCAGTAACTTTTTGGAAGGTTGTACAATAAATTTGGGCAGAGTCATCAAACATACATTTTCACAAATGCTAGGTAAAGATATTAGCTTAATATTCAGGCTTGCTAGCCCTCTACTTACGTATCCAAAACCTACCTTCTTACCAGCTACAGAATTGATCTGGAGACCTATGTTGTAATTGGTTGTTTTCATCAAAAGACCTTTTCAGTGACAGAGGATGCTGTCTGCCACCTTGTGTGACGTTAACTTTTCAGAGTTAGGACCCCGGTATTTGCCTGCATTAAATGGTACTGTTCAAGTGATTTCATTGTTACTGCGATCAATTTTGTAAGGCTTCAGTTTTGTCAATCGTGAATTTATTTTAAGATTGTCATCAAGTGATGTTGGATCCTCCAAAGCTTAGTTACCGACATGGTAATCTTTTTCCATATATGCAGTCAGACATCCCACCTTTCAGCTTATGAACTCAACCTCACGTTCTCTTGCTGTGCACCTCCGAGAAGGCTCTGTCTTCTTGGTAACCTCCTCATCAGTATTGGGGGGCTGCTTTTAGGTCCCCCTAAAGCCACCTCCTCTCTACCAACAGGCCCTGTTCCTCAGCCTCTCCTTGCCCTGAGGCCTTCCCAGCAGAGCAATCCACAGCCCAGCATCTGGGACTGTCGCTGTGCAGGGGCTGAGTGTGTCCCAGGGGCAGGGCTTTGCATTTGGCCTTGCTGAGCCTCCTGAGGTTGCTGTCGGCCTTTCCTCCAGCCCATGCAGGTCCCTCTGGAGGGTGGATTTGTCCTCCAGCATGTTGAGTGCATCCTCTTTAGTGACTGTATTTCTGTAGACCTGGTGCCAACTTCCACACTCAGCCAGTTTTTAAACTCAAACCTTCATAGAATCATAGAATGGTTTGGGTTGGAAGGGACCTTGAAGATCATCTGTTCCAACGCCCCTGCCATGCGCAGGGACACCTTCCGCTAGACTTGGTTGTTCAAAGCCCCATCCAACCTGGCCTTGAACACTTCCAGGATGGGGCATCCACAACTTCTCTGGGCAACCTGTTCCAGTG